TGACAGGATAATGCAAAATAATTGATTTTATTTAAAATAAAAAGCAAAACCACAATCATCCGAACAAGACAAGTATCCCAGCTCTGCTGGATGGGTGATAAAAGCAGCTAAAGGGCAGTGGCAGGGCTTGGAGCTGACAGTGGGACTGTCACATGAATGGGTAACACTTTCCTTCCCCCCCTTTGCAAGGGGGATGCCAAAAACCTCCTGGTACAATGAGCCCACACAGGCATTTCAGACTGGATTCAGCCAACAGTCTTGCTTCCCACCCCACGATGGCTGGGGATTCAGGGAGGAGAAGGGTCGGGGTTAACTATGAAAGAGGTTGCTGTCTTTCTTCTAAGCACTTGGAGAGGTTTAATGTAACTGAGAAGACAAACTGGAGCCAGTGCACATGAGCTGGAGAGGGGAGGAAGGTCTGCCAGCGCTTCCTCAGCGTCACCTGCTCCCACAGCACTTGTGCAGGGAACAGGTGCTGGGACTGGAGCCTCTTGTTCACATCTGCGGGTCTGACCGAGCGTGTGTTTGTTTCCTCCTGAACTGTCACAGCCTGTGTAGGTCACCAGACCCAACAGCATGGCCAGAGTTCCCAAATCCCTCCACCCTACCCAGAGCAGGCAGGACAAAGGTCACAGTCCAAACCCAGCCCAAGGCTCCCAGCCCATCCCCAGGGGACAGGGCAGCCTCCTGAGGCCCAGGGCACTGAGGCAGAGCTGCTCTGGGGCTCAAGGAAATGAGGGGCCCACAGGGTCTGGGTGCTGGACCAGCTGCATCCAGGGGCTCTACAGGATACAAAAGCACAGGGTTTGGAACAACAGACATGGATGCCCCAAGAAGCACAAGCCTGGAGAAGTGAGAGCACAAACCCCACTGTCCCCAGCCAGCCTCCCACAAGTACGGAGCTAGGCACAAAGGGAGAACAGTTTTTAACTTTGTTCCTCACTTATCCAGCCTGGAATGAGGGCCTGGGAAGCACCAGCTCACCCCCTTCCTGTAAGGCCAGCGAGGCTGACTCCCTGATGAGAGAGAATTTAATCTAGTCCTATTTAAAAACAAATCCTGCTCTAGCAGGACCTGCTGTTTAGAGCAGGCCATGAAACAGCAACAGTTCAACCCTGGTGAAAACAAAAAGCCTTGTTCTGCTACAGTTTATGTGCCACCAGCAATTCTGGAAGGGCCACCACAGAACACCACGTGGCCAGGAGAGCTGAACAACATCCCCAATGTTTTCCACTGTAAAGAGCTACCACGAGGCTCTTAAGTCTCAGGTTGCTCGGGATGAATGGAACACTTTTTGTGGGTGGATAACTTCAAAGCATCTCACACAGTAATTACAGTTCAGCCTCACAACACCCCTGTGAGGTAGGGATTTTCCTCACTGCTCAAAGGCAGAATCTCACCAACTCGGCCGAGACAAAAGCCGCAAGTGGAAGAACTGGAGATCCCAGAGTCCTGATTCCCAGGTAGCCTGAACAAATACTGTTTCACGGCAGGAAGCGCCCTGTGGAGCACTCAGGAGAGTGTTGCTGGTATCACAATGTCCTGCAGTCCATTGCAAATGCTGCTTTTCTGTGAGGGGTGTCAGACCAACACAGGCTTCATCTGAAACTGTGTTATTTCACACCATGGAAGAGTTCACAGGCGTGGAAGAATGCTCTGCACTCTGATCTTCCCACTGTGCTTCCAGAGGCAGACGTGTGGCTTTCCCAGCACAGGGCTCAGGTGTTCACACACATGTAAGATTTTAAGACTGCAGAACTGAATCACACATGCCAAATGCAACTGCATCTCACTGAGGTGCTGCCCAGCCACCACAGCGGGCAGGGGACAGCTCTCCAAGGACTCCCCTTGCTGTGGCAGAGCTGATCCTTGTGAGCCTTTGCTTCTCCAGGCCCCACATTCTTCCAAAAAGGCAGCAGCTGCAGCCTGCTCTGAGAAGACACACACAGATTGTGCAGGCTCCCAGGCTGTTTTGCCCTGGCCAGAAACACCAGTAGTTTGAGAAATTGTTTTTTTTTTTTAAATAAAGTAATTTTGTGGAACAATGTGCACAGTGTACAGAGCGGTGCTCGCTTATGCCTGGTCATCACAAAAAATTTGGGAATCTGGACAGCTCAAGTGTACCAAAAAAACTTCCCTCTCACCATTTCCCTGCCACCACGCTGCTCCTACACAAACTGACTGGCACAGAAGAGTCAAAAACAGAGATCCTGACAAACATATTTAGGATTCCCTTGTACAACAGGATATGGCCTGGTCTCCAAGAAGGGAGTGTTTAAATAGGAAAAGACAAGGTTAAAAAAGATCAGAAAACCCAGACAAGCATTGCTCCAAGTTCCATCAGACCCAACATGTGTAAGAAAGTCACAGCTGAGGCTGCCAATCTGCTCTTTAATCAGTGCCTGGGCATTATTACATGTTTACAACACACACGGCACTTCTGCTGTCAAGTTTCCTCTCCCAGTAAAGTGAGATCCTATAACCACCTCCTAGGGCTCAGGAGAGCACCCCTGGAAGAGCACCCAACTCAGACAGCTTCTGCCTGTGCTGTTCAGATTTCCTTGCAGCACACCTTGAGCCAGACAGACATGCCTGCTAAAAAACCAAAACCAGCAGCTCCAACAGATCCCTTGGGGACGAGAGCTTCACCAGGCATAATACAAATGCACCTACACAGACTGAAGCAACACACTGCATTTTCAAAAAGCATAAAACAACAATACATCCCCCTCCCAGTCCTTTAAAATTGGCACTGCAAGTTTCAGAAACATCTGAACCCACAACCTCAAAGAAAAGCCATTTAGGGATGTGAACTGCCCATGGCCCCAGAACTGCTGGATATTTAAAGCCCAGCAACTGCTGTGATCATGTAAGTAAGAGTCAGACTTTGCCAGCAGTTGCCTTGTGCTAAATATTACACCTGCACCCGAAGGATGGTAATTACTGGCAAATGCTGACTTTTCCCCCAGTTTTTGTTGTGCAAGAAACTCCAGGATTCTCCTGCTCTGAGTTTCCTGTCACGAGGTGCTAGTGCAGCTTTGTTACCTGTCATCATAACAGACACAGAGCAAAAGTGAATGGCCAGGTGCTGGTTAAGGTGTTGCACCTCAGGTGTGTGCATGGAGCACGCAGATTAAGACCACAAAAGATGCTTCAGGTTGGTGGTCACCTCCGCTGAAGATGCTTCAGTGCTGGCAGCATTCACACCACCCTCCATTCCTTGGCTGAACAGGGATCTGCTCTTGGAAGTAACATGAAAAAGGAAGGTGTGTGCCCAGTGGAAGCAAGGTCAGGTGACACAGGAAGAACAGAGATGCTGCTTGTCATTGTAGGGAGAAAATTTGTGTGGCCAAAGCTCAACGGGGTTTGAGGCTGCTGGAAATGTGGGGGGCAATAAAAAGTTTTTTCAAATACATTAATGGCAAAAGGCAGTGGAGAAATAATATCAGCCCTTCCAGGATGGGGGTGGTCCCCTCCTAAATAGGGATATGAACAAAGCAGAGGTGTTTAACACTTTCTTTGCCTCTGTCTTCAACACAGATGACGGACCAAGGGGGTCTCAGTGCCCTGAGCTGGAGGACCGTGACTGTGAGAATGATCAACTCCCAGCTGACCCTGAAACTGTGTGGATCTGCTGCTCCATCTGGATCCCTACAAATCTATGGGGCCTGATGGGATTCCTCAAGGAACTGCTGATGTCATCACAAAACCTTTCTCGATGATTTTTGAGCAGCCTTTGGAATATGGAGAGGTCTCAGCTGACTGGAAGCTGGTGAATGTTGTCCCAGAAACTACAGGCCTGTCAGTCTCACTTCAGTGCCTGGTAAAGTTATGGAGAAGATTATTCTGGGAGGTATTGAAAAACACCTGAAAGACAACACAGTCATTGGTCACAGCCAGCAGGGCTTCAGGAGAGGAAAGTCCTGTTTGTTGAACCTGATTTCCTTGTACGACAGGGTAACCCACCTAGTTGATCAAGGGAAGCATGTAGATGGGATCTTTTTGGACTTCAGCAAAGCTTTTGAGAACGTCTCTGCCAGGATCCTTCTGGACAAACTGTCCAGCCCACAGCTGGATAACTGTGTTACAGGATGGGTGAGCAATTGGCTCACTGGTTGGGCACAGAGGGGGACAGTGACTGGGGTGACATCAGGCTGGCATCAGTCACTACTGGGGTTCCACAGGGCTCCATTCTCAGCCCAGTGATTAATGACCTGGACACAGGACCTGGACACAGGACTCAAAAGAATACTGAGCAAGTTTGCTGATGACACCAGACTTTGACAAATTGGAGGGCTGGGCAATCACCAACCAAGTGAAGTCCAGCAAGGGGAAGTGTTGGATTCTGCACCTGGGACAGGGTAAACAACCCTGGCTGTGTGTATAGACTGGGGAATGAGAGGCTGGAAAGCAGTGCTGGGAAACAGCCCTGGGGGTCCTGGTGAGTGGCCAGTTGGCCATGAGTCAGCAGTGCCCTGGCAGCCAGGAGGGCCAATGCCCCCTGTCCTGGGGGCATCAGGCCCAGCATCACTGGCTGGGCCAGGGAGGGGATTGTCCTGCTTTGCTCTGCCCTGGGGCGGCCTCACCTGCAACATTGGGGCAGTTTGGGGAACACAATAGAAAAAAGATGTTAAGCTGTTAGAGAGCATCCAAAGGAGGGCCATGAGGATGGTGAAGGGACTGGAGGAGAAGCCTTATGAGAAGCAGCTGAGGTCACTTGGTTTGTTCAGCCTGGGGAAGACTGAGGGGAGACCTCACTGGAGTCTTCAACATCCTCTCGAGGGGCAGCAGAGAGGCAGGCACTGATCTCTTCACTCTTGTGACCAGTGACAGGATTCGAGGAAACGGCTGGAGCTGAGTCAAGGGAGGTTTAGGTTGGATATCACAACCAGGTTTTTCACCCAGAGGGTGGTTGAGCACTGGAACAGGCTCCCCAGGGAAGTGGTCACAGAACCAAGCCTGTCTGTGTTCAAGAAGCATTTGGACAATGCTCTCAGGCACATGGTGTGACTCTTGGGGTGTCCTGTGCTGGGCCAGGAGTTGGACTCGATGATCCTGATGGGTCCCTTCCAACTCAGCATATTCTGTGATTTTATGTGACCCGCAGTCGGAAGCACCAGCCCCGACAGCAACGTTCTCCTGCAGCAGGATAAGATCCAAAGACCCATTTTCCACAGCTCAGTTCTTGCAGAAGCTAATTTCTTTCTCCTTCTTCCCGAAATTCCAGTGCAAGATCCGCCGGACGTTCCCATTAGGCCAACAGGGCTGGTGTTCCTTTCCTCAAGTGTACAGGACAACATGTAAACATATGACAGTGTCAAAGCAAGGCAGGCTTTTATTTACCTGCTGGTTTTAAAAACAGTTCTTTAAAAACTGACCGTTGTCTTCCTTGCCAGTTGCGTGACCCATTAAACACTCGGCGTGTCCTTGCCCACAGCTGGGTTATAGTGCACTCACCCGGGGCGCAGGGGGGACAAAGCATTGCACAAGGACGTGGTGGGGCATTCCCCTACAAGCTACTCAGGAGCCAACCTTGGACAGCACATAACGAAGACAAGATGTCTGGATCGAGGAAGAGTGACAAAAACGTAAGGACTGTGAGAAACAGAAGCAGGAGGGGGTAGAACAGAGCTGGCTGGCTGCTAACGGAGCTTCGATCGGGTGGTGTTATCGCTCAGGGGTAGCTGCGGCCTCCGCAAGATTCCCTAATCCTGTCAAAAGAAGGTACAACTGCCTTTGAGCATTCCCCTCATATCAGGGCACGAGATCGCAGCATGCAGATTAATTTCAGGCTTATTTCTTCCTCCAGAACTGTACAAGCAGGGTAAGGTTTCATGTTTGGAAGCGTTTCTATCAACTAATCCATCACACAGCTGGAACAGAACGCCCACCCACCCTCGCAATCAACACGCAGGAGGAAGAACAGTGAAACCCAGAAAGCAAATGTTCTAGACAAGGTGCTAATTTTTAATATTTAAGGTATTCAGTTTAAAATTTGAACTGCAAACAATTTAAAAATGCACAGGGTTTTCAGAAGAACAGATCTGCGTTTTTACAGGTTTTTTTCTAAACCAGGGTCTGCAGTAAGGTTTGTTCTCTCCTGCTGCTTGTTCCCTGCCTGGAGTCACACTGGCTGCTGAAATGGGATTTGACAATGTCGTAACAAACAAATTGTGAAAACCTCCAGGGCAAAACAAGCAGTCAGTACAGTTCTCCCCAACGTTTAATGATGCTCTGTACTTGTAATTCAATTGTATTCAGTTACGAGCAACTCCTGAAAACAAGAGAGCAGTACAGGAGCACACAGGACTTCAGGCAGGACCCTACACTGGGAATTCAGGCATAATGCTGGGAATATGGAATTCCTCAGGTAAATTACTGCTGCACACCACCTTTAGCAGGCCACACAGTAAGTCACCACAGCACTTGCATCCATGCCAAACCTGCAGCATCCAACAGCTCAGGAACTAGCCAGCACCCTACTGCAGGCAGGCAGCCAGTCCAGCAACCAAGCCGCAAGGAATTTGCTTAAGAATTTTGGCAAGCCTCTGCTACATGAGAAAAATGCTTCATTCAGCAGAGAATGTCTAAGTTCTTCCCTGCAGCATACCCCCAGATTCCCAGTGTCCCACTGTTTTCAACCTGGCAAGTCCAGAGAACTGCCTTCTTCAGCAACTTTACCCAAAGCATACCTATTCTTGGTTCTGCAATATTAATGTTCCCTCCTTCCAGACTGACTGAAACTTGCTTGTCATTTATTTATTAATTTGAAATATAAACACAGACATTTGGAATTTTGGATGAGTTTTGCCTTTAACAGATAAAACAGTGGATCAAATTGAAATAATCAAGGCAACAATAAGAAAAACCGTACAACTACTTGAAGGTTTTCTGTTTGAACAAGGCAGGGAAATCTGACTCCTGCCTGACCATTCCTCATCTTTAACTGTTCACTATTCATTTGTGCTCTCTGAAGAGCACAGTTAAAGCATTCCACCTCTCAGACCACTAAGCAAAAATAAAATCAAATCCTTACCTCTATTAAAACAGACAACTAGGAAAAGAAATAAACTGTTTATTAAATAAAACCCCTAGTTTTAAAAAATATCAAGAATATTAGTTTTCCATTTGAAGCAATTAAAATAACTCATGGAGGGAAGATAATACCACTGGCCAACTGCTTTATGTCCTGTAAGGAATCCCTTGCTCTCCGTCCCTCTGTCCTGAGGAATCACCTATCTGAAGTCTGCCAGCTCTGCCTCTGTCTTGTGCTTGTTTAAAAACAACAGATGCCATCTGGTCACCTGGAGGAGCTGCGCTCTTTGCTCACACAGTCGTCCTGGGAGGTTGTGTCCCCGTTCCCCATCATGCTGCACGTCCTCCGCTTTTTCCTCCGGTGCATCATCCCCTCTGTCTCGGAGCCAGAGTCACACTGAAGAGTGGAAAGATGAAACCAGAATTCAGAATTTGTGCTGTGGAATTCACCGTCAGAGCTGTCTCAGCAACCCCGAATAATCCACGTTCAAAGAAGGTGCTATTTGAGGTTAAACACGTGAAACAAATTTCAAATTAAGTGCTTAAAAATCGGGATCAGGAATGCTCTTAGATTTCATCACTGACTAGAGCTGGCTGGGGCAAGACAATGTGAATGTGTTCCTTTTGGATCCTTGAAGGATCTCATCTTCCAAGAGCAGACTCAGAGGCTCCTGATAGATTTAGGTGCCTAGAAGAGTCCCTTGTCATAACTGATCTGTTTTGGATCTTGTTCCTCCTCCCCATTTTTAGAACATTCATTTTGCAGCCATTTTACAAAGCATGGCTTAGCTAAATGAGTGACAGATTCATATATAATACAGACACAGATCAAACAAACCAAATCCATTTAGCAACACAGAGAGACTTCAGCAAACAGAACCTGCTAAGACCACAGGCTCCTCCACAGTGTAGATTTGTTTAGGTGCTTTCCATTAATTTCTTCCATAAGACAGGAAAATTAGGATCAGGACACATGATCAGGTATGGAAAAAGCAATATAATTTCAGACTATGGATCACTTATTGCAGTAAAAAGCATTACCTCTGAATCAGAGTCTGAGGAGCTGGAACTTGAGGAACTGGAAGAATCACTTGAACTGTCGGAAGCAATACCAGTAGATTCCTGCAGGTCAACTGAATCAGCCAAGGCTGCCAAGTCAGGATGTTCCTGCTTTAGGATCCTAAACACAGTTGAAATTTCAGGGTTAGCCTTTGAACTGTAACACTGTGTGTAAATGAGTATTTTTAGGTTTTGTTTCAAATAGAGAACATGAAAAGAAAGCCACCAAACCTCTCACCTGTACCATTTCCGTGACAGTTTGGGTCTCCCTCTCACCGTCTTGTGCCACACCACGGGGAAGTTGGTACAGCTGGCAAAGTTTTGTGTGATGGCAATAGTCGTGTCAAGGTTGAGAACAACATGCCACCAGCCACCTAAAACACAACACCAATGACCACTGCTGGCTACATGGCAGAGAGCAAGTTCAAGAAACAGCCAAGAACACTTTTCCCATAGTGCAGGTAGAAACTGGACATTACTTCCCCCCACCCAGGCAAGTTTGCCACCACGTTACCTTTCCTCAGGCTAATTTCAGCTCTCACTCCAGTGCTTGACAGGTTTTGTTACAGAAGGCTGCTCCACACTCTGACCAAATTACCCAGCTCACAAAAAGATCTGACTTGACAGCAATACACTGGCTACTGATGGTTTATTTAACAGCAGGAGCCATTGTAACCCAGACAGCACAGAGGCCCTTTCTGTCCAGCTGGAGAGCACTTTCCACGCTGATTTTGTAAGGTTCTTATGACTACAGACTAACCTTTCATTTAAAAATAGACGCAAAATCGTTTCCCGACACAGGATAAAAATAGACAGTGAAGTTCTTACAACCCACTTATAGTCTCATAAAAGACTAAGGGAACAGTTTAATGGAACCCGACAGCTACAAACTCTTAACAGAAGGTACACTGAGGAGTCACTAATAAGTGCCAAGACAATCACAAGGCACTCTTCACACGTGAAGTCAGCTGTATGTTAGAGACAAGCAATGTGGACAGAAGCTAAGGGCTGTTCTGCACTAAAATGAAGTAAGATTCAGAGCTTAGAATTTGGTACTGAACTCACATGTTCATCCACCACCACCTCCCCTCCCAGTTACAATGGGCACACAGTGGGCAGCCACTCAAAGAGAAGGGCATCTTTAGCAGAGCTTTCTTTAGCTTTTGATTTCAAATGCAAGATGAAACATAACCACAGAGAGGTGGGTGGAAGGTGTCAGTGCCTTTAAGTAGTTCATTTCCCACAGCTAAGAAAAATTCACATGCAGTCAAACTAACCAGGCTACAAAATTCAGTCATGAATTTGCTACAGTGTATGTGAACTCAAACATTTTTGTCTAACAGTTATTGGTACTCAAATACTTCTTATTTTATGCCCAGACAGTTTCCTGTTACTGCAATTTAGTACAGGATCACATTTCTGTGATGCTGCCACTCAAGTCCCTCTTGTTTTGTCATCTGTACCACATGCAATCCCATGCCACAGGCCATACACATTTTGAGACATTCCAAAAATAACTGGATAGCCTCAAAACAAGCATTGCACTATGTATCCCTTTTGAAAGAGCTCAGGAGAGTTTATTTGTAAGAGATGGGCTGTATAAAAAAGCTGAAATACCCTCTTCACCTCTGTAACACATGAATATATTAAAAATACGCTTTTCTCTCCCAGATTGCCCTGCTGGAGAGATTTGTACACACCTGGCACAAAGACTGTCTCGCCTGGTTTCTGTAAGACTTCCAGGGGTTTGAATTCGGGGGGCCAGGTGGGAAGCTGTGTCCGAGGGTAGATGACGTTGAACCAAGTGATTGCCTCGTCCTGCTGGTTCCCTCCCTCTTCTCGAGTCACTTTGATGAGCTCTCTGGGAGTGCTGGTTGGGAACAGGCACCAACGCTTATGTCCCTGGACTAAGGCATTCCACGCACTGGTTCCCAAGGGATCGATGTGAATTCCTGTTCCAGATCGAGGTGGGCCCATCACAAACCATCTGCATGGGAATAAAGAAAGTCCTTTAGTCACAGAGCAAGCAAGTAGCTCCCTTCCTTCACGTTAGACAGTTAGAAATCAAAATAGTTACGATTCTTTCATTTACGTTCCTGATTTTGTTAGATTCACACTACAGCAAAAAGATACAACGGGAGTTTAACCTAAAAACCAACACGAATGACTGCAGGATAAGAAAGCAAAGATAAGTTTTTATATTTCATAGCTGCATTTTGGTTTAAACATTTCTTCAGTACAACATATAGTGATTTCAAGGGTAATGAATGCTGTTAGGTCACAACAGCCTTTGTTAGGATCTAGGCAGGGGGATTCTCCTACAGTTTTCTAAAATTTGCTGCTCAAGCAGATCCAGAACTGCAGAACAATGAGGAACAAACAGAAGGCAACACAAGGAACAGAACAAGTTACGCAACCCTGGCCTCTTTCTGTGCCTTCTGGTCACAACAGGCTTTTCATTCCAACATTTGACTACATGGAGTTTGTTCCCCAGCGACCGTTCAGGATTTGTGGTGGATATTCCCATTTCCCACTTTTAAGGTTTATTTCTCCAAAAGAGGACTTTATCTACTCTATCTGTTCAACTGCAGCAGCACCTTCAGCTGCTCATTTCCCCTTAACGGAGCAGTAAGATCTACTCTAGAAAAAGCAGCGTGAGGTGACTTAACACCAGGCATCAAGAGATAAAAATGGCAATAAATGCTTGATTGGTAGCAGAGAGTATAGAAATTAGAGCAACAGCAGGATCCCTCCATGGTGTGGCTGACAGGCAGGTGATGCCCAGCAACGGGAGTGCAGAGGTTCAGAAAATATTGGAAATCAGCAAGTTCTCCATCTGCCCTTTCCAGTGCAGGTGTAAATCAAGCTGGTCGTCAAGGATCATTTGCCAGCACCAACTGTAGGACTGTAAGTTTGATTATCAAGCTGCTTTCTTCCTTCTTCACAAAGGAGCTGTAAACAAGCAGGTGTTCATAATTTCTATTGTCAGCTCACTCTTCAGATTCATATTAGCCTTGGAAAGCTGGTTAAACCACAAGCAGAACAGTCAAGGCTTTCACTAAGAAGACAGAAAACATTAAACTCATGGAGATCTGACTGGCACAGACAGATGCACTGCTCAATACCATTTTCCTGACAATAACCTGAATCTACACATGCAGGTTTTAAAACCCTTATTTAGCAACACTGTCATTTACCAGCATCTTCCTCCAGGCAATTAACTTACAATGAACAAAACCCAATTTGCCACAAGACATCAAATTTACCGTTAAAAACTTCTCGTCTCCTAAATTCAATCTGAAAGCAAACCCCAACCCCTCTCCCCAAACTAAAAGAGCTGCTTCAGCCAATGGCTTCCAAAAATTACTGTCTTTATCTTAGAGAGGAACAACACCAATAAAAATGCTCTGAACAGCACCAATTCTTACTTTAAAGTCTACACACTATCACACACCTCTCAATTCAGAGGCCAACCTGTACAGGTCATATCCTCATCATATGATTTGTACCATTTCCTGTCAGATTTTCAATTATGCTCTGAAAGTTCTGGGCACTCTTCATCCATTTCTGTACCCAGATGAACCCTCTGATTCCAGGAGGCACCAGTGTGCTCTCTCATGCACCACTCATCTCTCAAAAAAACACTAACAGCCTGAAACAAACCCACATTTTCCTGAACAAAGTACAAGAACTGTGAATACCGAGATCACAAAGAGGCTCAGCATGTGCATGTAGGTGGGGAGGGTGTGGGGGAGAGAGACACCAATATAAATGAATCACAACCAGATTATCTTGTTTACCTGTAACTTGGATAAATGATTCCCAGTCCTGTAAGTGTATTCAGCTTCTACTACAGATACTGTGCTTTTGTGTTCAATCACAGTAGTACGTTCTTAGAAGAGCTTTATAAAAAGCACCTGCTACAACACTGTAAAAACGCCCACTTCAGTGATCTTAAATGGAATTAAGCTCCTGCTTCACTCCTGCAAAATCACAACTGGACTACAGACACGTGAGAGAGTGCAGAGGGAAGTACATTATTCATGACTTGTTCTGTTTTATTTAAATAAACCACATCAGAGCCTCATGTCACTCAGAGGGCAAAAGGCATTGTCTGACAATTATAATGTTGCTGTAAAGACTTTAATTACTTGGGAGGGTTCAGCTCACGCTCATACTGCTATAAAGTGTTGCATCAACATAGAGAGAAATGGCTTTTATATCTAACAGTGAAAATACAAGGTTGTTGCGTTTGAATTCATGAATGAAGAGTTGTTTCAATCCTTTTCCAATCTGAAGAAAAAATAGAGTTGAAAAGACTACATGGATGTAAAATATTGTTCTCTCTCAAAATCATCTGAAGGAAAGCTAAGAACTAGTCCTACTCTAGATCCTAATCTAGTTTAGGATCTTTACCTTAAAAGGACTGACTCGTAATTAAACAAAATTCCACACTGTACATAAGCCACTGGTGCAAAACCCAGGAGCCAGTCCTGAGGTACTTAAAATTTGAGAGCCAGAAGGCACACAGAGAAAGAAATCAATCTTCATATCTTTCAGTAACTATGTAAATTTTAAAAAAATCTAAGAAGTGATGTAAACTGACTTAACAAAAAGGGAAAAAAAAGGAAAAACCACCATAAACTTGTAGCAGCTCTGGTGGGAGAACAAGAATTTGTTACACACAAATCTTCTCTTCCTCTGGATTACAGATGTACACTCTTATTTTAAGAGACAAATTAAAGCTGTACTTTTTTTTTTCTAATGTGAGACAATCACAGCTATTCAGGAATAGCCAAGGAGGTGAGAAATAGCCCTTTTTGTCTTGCTGCCCCTGCACTGTACCTGTAGGGTGGCCGCCGTTTCTCCCCTGCATACTGAAAGAGGTCATCCGTGAAGAATTTGGGTACTTTATAATCCTCCAGGAGTTTCCTGCGCTTGGGGTGCTCCCCATAACTGCTGTCAAAGATGTACAGGGGGCTGTCATCACGTGTGGTTTCCATGTACTCTATGTAGTACTTCATCTTCATCTTCACAGAGTAACCGTCATTGTCCTCCCCACACTTGAACTTCTGGTTCCTGTATTTGCGTTTCAGCCGCTCCAGCGTCCACTTCTCCTGGGCAGACCAGCCCACCTGGGCGTTCAGCAACACCACGGGCTTGTAAGGCTTTTCATAGCGCTCAACGAACTCCTCCACCGTCAGCTGGAGCGCATCTGCCCTCTCCACGTTATCCTGTGAGACCGGGGAGGGAAGCAGAACAGACATCAGGACAGGCTGACGTCCTAGGACCGCGCTTCCCCGTGGGGGAGCTTCACACACCGCGAGGGGACGGAGCTGCCTACGTGTTATTTTAAGCTCCCCGAGGCTGCAGCCCTGTTCCTCCTGGCCCGCTCCCCGCACACACCAGTGTCACGGGCAGCCCGAAGCCTTTGGCACTGCTCCCCATCGAGGCCACGCTGCCCTTTCGGCTGACACGTCCACTGCCGCATTCCACCCCCTGAGGACACAAGGGAGGACTCCAGGAATTATTTGGCGTGC